TGGGTACCACTGCTCTAGACTACTGTTGCGCGGAATCTAACACACGTGGGTGGGGACAATCTCTCTTTATATGCCCAGGTTCTCCACAATTGTAACAAGTACGATCAAAAGATGGTATGCCGCCCGTTGAAGGCGCGACTCCCTGGCTATTCTGAAAATTATGAGATGGAGTTTCTGAGTACGTAACTACTTATAGAGGTGGGCATAGCGGACTGAATTGGCTTGGCTGCAAGCGTTGGTCTTTCAGACCCCTTGGAATAAGAACCTTGAAAGTTAACCGTCACGCCTCACTCCCTCCACTTTCTTAACATAATATGTTACCTCATTGAAGCTCCTCTCTGCAGAAGTCATATGAACAGATAATACTTGCAACTCAGAATTCAATCCTCTAATAAATAACTGAATCCTCTCCTCCTCTGCAGTCACCAACTGCGTAGCATATCTAGACAAATCATGGAACTTGGCCTCATAAGCAGTCACAGTCATACCACCTTGCTTCAAAGCCATAAACTCATTTTTCTTGCGATCCCTCAAAGTCCTAGGCACATACTTCTCTAGAAATAGAGCATGAAATTGGGTCCAAGTAAGTGGAGGTAAAGTAGAAGATCTACATTCCATATAAGCTATCCACCACTGCTTAGCCTCACCTTGAAGTTAGAAAGACACAAACTCAACCTCATGCTGATGAACAATACCCAGTTTATGAAGCCTATCATAGCAATCCAGAATGAACTCATAAGCATCCTCATTCTCAGAACCAAGAAACACATGAGGCTTTAGCTTCAGAAACTTAGTCAACATTTCATGCTCATTACCAGTCATAACAGAACCCAACAAAGGACGGAAGAAAGCATCATTACCCCAGTCCTACCCACCTTGGGCGCAGTGCTAGCAACATGAGGATTAGTAGGAGCTTGAGTTTCTTGAGCAGAAGGAAGCACTCCAGGACCAACCAATCCCTTTAAGAATGACATGATCTATTGAGCTAACACTGGCTCGAAAGGAGGAACACATGTAGTCTCAACCTGCACCTCTCCCTCTTGTCCCAAATCCTCAACATCAACATCAATATTCTCATCTATCTCTTCATGATGCACATGAGGGTTCTCATTCATAGGAGCATTCTCATCAGGAGCTTTATTTCCAGCAGGTTCTACCCTTCCACGGCCTCTACCCTTAGCTCTTTCTTTCCCCCTGCCTAGACCTCGACCTCTCGCTGTAGATTCATCAACCAGAGCATTGACGGGAGCTACGGGCCTAACGTCGTTGAACCTAGTATTAACCATCTGCAAACAGAAGAGTGAAGGAGGTTAGATATTAATTTGAATCGCCAGATACCAATTGGAATCAAGTCATAGCACGAAAGGAGACTAGAGAAAAATAGAGATTTCCTAAAGTCATATAGCCTCTCGAAGAAAAGTAAAGGGGTTCCTGTACCGTTCTGCGAGACTCTACTAGACTCGTTTTGATACATCGAGATCAACGAACCTAAGCTCTGATACCAACTTTGTCACGACCCAGACCGTCGTGATTGGCATCCACACTAACACTCCGGTGTGAGAACCACTACCACAACCCAACCAAGAAAATAATCTAAAAAATAAGGCATTTAAATCAAATACTAAGGAAAATAAAAATAGAGTTCTCATAAACTCTAACAAAAGTCTAACAATAATAAACTAACAATGCAGAAGTAATGCCTAGAACCTGAAAGTCAATGTACCAAAACATCTA